AGCCTAAATGTTAAAGAAAATAAAAAAAAATATACAAAAGGTTAAAAAGAACTAGGCACCTCACATGTGTCCATCTTAACATAGTTTTAGTTTTAATATTACACCAATATTAAACTTTTGTTTATTGAAAAAAATTTAAAAAAAAAAAAAAAAATTTTTAATATTATAATAATTGAATTTTAATAACTATGAGTGTGGTTATAATATTTTGCTATATTTAACACTAACATAAATAATTTTACTTCCCAATTAAAAAGATAAAAAGCTGGTAGTTATAAATAATAATAATAAAGAAAATATAATAAATGTAAAAGGTGACATAAATAATTTAAAGATAAACCCAAAGCACTGAAAACCTTTACAAGAAGTTATTTAGAAAATAAATAAATAAATAATTAGTTTGAGTCCGAAAGACAAATCAATTTCTCCCAGTGTAGACGGAGGATAATTGCCACAATTTGCTTGTTGCGTGAATGGACAGACGGAAAAGTGCCGGCGATTACAAAAGGGGAAGGTTCCCTCGTCGACGAAAGGGTGCAAAAAGGACAACTTCCGTTTGCCGGACACGCGGACATACCCGCACGCACACACACACATACAAACATATGCACATTCATATTGTATGTGGATGTGAAGGGTTCGTTTTTGTCTTATGTCCGCCTTGTGTCATATTTGAGGTGAGCATAAAGCCACTCAACGCCGCCATAAATCAACTGCACTCTGATCTAAGGCTGTCAGCGGAGGGAGACACCAGACATCGCACATTGGACGGCTCGACTGAGCGACAGATAGCGACCGAGAACAATCAGAGTAACTAAAATTTCATTTACAATAAGTCGACCTAAGAAATACCACACAGATTGGGTTTCAAGTTGATTACCTTTAAAAGCAATGACAATTTTGTGGCTAAACCTGAATATTGGATCTTTGACATTATTTTGATTTCAAGCACACGTCTGATATTTTCAATTATACAAGCAAATATACGATGAAAATGTTTCTTCTTAAAGGTTTACTAGTTACTCATTGAATCATACTTAAAGTATTTACAAAGCTTACCCTTGGGAATAATAAAAGAAATAATTTGTGCAACACATAAGCTAAAATTTCTTCCATGAAAATGATTTCTATATAGATTGCATATTAAATTGTACAAACTGTAATATGGATACCTACAATTTCGGTTGTTTTGTGTGTGATTATCTCGGACATATAGTCAAAATACCCGTAGGCAGAACATTGCAACAGCGAGCGACAGCGACAACTTTGTCCCATAACTTTCCAGACGACAAACAGACAACATCGCCGTTGTTGTCGTTGATGTGAATGTCGATTGCGATGTCTGCTCTGCTCACCTACGGCTTTAGCTTTGGCTATAGCTTTGGCCCGACTTTCGACTTTGACTTCGACATCGACATCGGTTCTGGTTCTGGTTCTGGTTGCCATTCTTGTTCCTGTTCTGGGTCTGTGTTTCTCACACGCGGAGGCTTTCCAGGTCGCTGATGCCTTTTTGTGGGAATGCACCTGAGCTTTGGGGTTCGCCTTGTTCTCTTCCATTTTTTTTACCTTTTTTTGTGTTTTTTTTTTGTTTCGTTGAGGTCTTCAGCCGACTTCGACTTTGACTTGTGTCTAGACTGCAGACTGCAGACGGCAAAAAGGAAACAACAGGAAACGCCGGCAGACAACAGACGGGCAGACCTCTTTGACAGCTCAAACAACTGAAACGAGCCGACAGCAGCAGCAAAAGCGGCAGCGGCAGCAGCAACTTGCAACCAGCTACCAGCCACCAGCAACCTCAATTGCAAGGCTGCAACATTGCAACAGCAACAGCAGAAGCAGCAGCAACAATGGGTCTTCTCCACATCCACAAGATATTGGGCAAACATTGCCAAACTGCGCGAACAATTCTCGGCTGTCAATATTGTCTGTCAACGTTGTCGTTTTGTGCCATCTTTCAGTTCTTTACTCTTGGCCCTTTTGTTTCTTGGCAGTTGCGGTGCTTTGTTCGTTTTCATTAGGTTTTCTAAAATGTGTCACATGTCTGAGGCTAAGATTAGTTTTTGATTGCTTTTGGTTAAACGATAGTCTGAGAAATCTTTGAAGCTACAACGTTCAACTTGGAGATCGGAAACGAATAATAATCTACTGCGCTTCCTTGAAAGCAAGCTTAGTGAATAAGGAATAGAACCTTTAATTCCTGATTGAAAATATCAAAGAATAATCATTATAAAAAATACGTTAACACATGCATTATTTTCTAAAAGAACTAGTTCCCTTCAATAAATGTTTTATTTATAATCCAAAGTGGAGTTGGGGCTTAAGCTCCACTAAATATAAATAATATCTGTAATATTGATCCACTTTTAAGATACTTTTTTGATGTCCATTTGCATCACAATGTTAATCAATTTACGAAACACATTTCCATAATTTCTTTAGCGAAATCCCACACCTCCAGAAGTCAAAAGCAGTCGCCTCTTTTTGACAACCTACTTTGCCCGGGCAACTGTAATTCGTTTTAGTGAATTAACCAGCTTAATTAGTTTAACTCGAGTCGAGACTGCAGCGTGGAAATGGAGAGATTCCCGGCCAGTGATTTGGCAGTTAGTTCGGGACATTGCATTCCTGTCTGTCTGTCTGACTGGGGGCTTTCCCCCTTCATCTGGTTTTTGGCCAGCAGAATGCGAATGCTCGTAGTATCCGCCGCTGGCAGCCATTTAGTCCGACTTGATGTCGTTGTCGTCGTTGTGTTTAATTATTCAAAACCATGTCATGTCTCTGTATAATTTTATGCATTGGCCAATCCAAGCGCCATGATTAAACTGATGATGATTACGACTGGCGATGGTGATGATGATGATGACGCCTACACAGGAGCACAAGAGGTAGACGGCAGACAGCTGACACCGAAACTATGGCTACACTAGCAGAAAATTTTAACAGAATAGCTCTTCATATATTTGAGGTTATTTTATAATCAAAAATAAATTTACTTTTATTTAACTACAGAGTCTTATAAATAACTGTTCAACTTTCTTAGATGCCAAATTGTTGTTTTAATAAGTTTGCTCTTATTTTCATTTGTTAGTATCTCTACTTTAGCTTAAAAATAAAAACATAGCTGTAACCAATTCTAATAAGATGACAAAACTTAAACTAAAATGAATTCCCATTTGAAAGGATTTTGCATTCTTTATACTGCCCTAAAAAGTATGCAATACTTTTTTAAACATTTTTGTCACTCATTTGACAGCTGCATGTGTATAGAATGTTTGAATATTGCGTAACTTTTTAAAAATAATATATTTGGGAAACTTATATTTTTTAATTAAATAGATATTAAATATTTATTTTTGTATTAAAAATTTAATTTCCTAGTGTATAGCTACAACTATCTTTCGACCACGCCACATGTGGCAAAGACAGCAACCGCAGTACAACGAGACAGAGACGGGGAGACGTTTAAAGAGTGGGACGGCAAGAGAGGGTAGAAGAGAGATAGAAATATGGAAAGAGAGAGAGCTGGCTGCACTGGCAAAGTGGCATACCAGACAGTCTGACGCTGTTGGAGCCCACGGATGGCCCCAGTTCCCTCGTCCCGCTTCCATTTCCCTCTCCTCCCACCACCTGCCACGCCCCCCGCCTCACCGCCTTCCCACCGATGGCCAGATCTTGCCGTCTGGACGAGTACAACGACAATAATAACAACAACACAGCAACAACAACAACCATGGACAACAACGACGACCACGACCACTGTCTGTGGCAGACCGAGACTATCGAAAACTCGAAATTTATTCGTTGGAAAAAGTTGATTTCTGTCGCCTTCTTTTTTTTCTGCCCACATTTTGTTTTTTTTGTTTTTCTTTGAGTGGTACGAATAGAATCGCGGAGTATATGGGTAATTAAATGTTATTCATATTTAATAATAGCATTTTGAGGGGTTTTGGCATAACTTTGCTTTTAGAAATTTTAATTATTTATAATCTGTGTTGCAAAAATATTTTTAAATTGTTACGTTTAACTGGTCGTAAAATAATGGTTTTAAAATAAATGGAAGGTTCGTTGGTAGTGGGTTAACATAGAGAAGAAGGAGTGCAAACTTTAAGAAGTCTATCAAAATTGAAATTTAAAGAAATTTTAAAGAAATTTTTTTAAAGTTAACCAATTGCAATTGTTGTTTTAATTATTTTTCTCGGGTATTATCTTAAGTACTGGATAGTAATTATGTCCATCACCCCAGACAACTGCTCCACTCTCATATCTTCTTCTCCATAATCTCAGACCCTCTCTTTCTTTCACACTCTGTCCATCTCACTCACTCAGTCTGTTGTTTTTACCGTCGTTGTTCGCTTTATTTTCCGTTGAATTGCAAAAAAAAAGAGCAGCAAAAAAAGAGATGCCCACGAAAATTATGTTAACCAGCCAGCTGTGTTAAAAATCCCACATCATATCCATATATCCCTCGATCCCCTTTCCCCTTCTCTGGATTTTTTGCTCCTTCTCGCTGACGACAAATGCCATATCGCATAAGGCATAAAAATGTTCAGATATGATGATGTCTGGCACTGGAACATTTTCAGGGCAATTGTTGCTGCGATTTGTTGTTTACTTTCTGTCCCTTTGTTTATTTCTTCTCCCTCTTGTTTTCAACATTTTCAGCGACATGCAAGTGGAAATTGTTTTTTTTGGCATCGGTATGCTTCGTTTATTTTGGAGCATTTGTTGCGTTTCGATGTTGTTCTTGACAGGTGAATGAACTGAGAATAATACTCTAATGTTGTGGGTTTAGGTAAATATTAAATTTACAATTATTTTAGGATAATTTTGTATATTTTTTAGAAATGATTTATAGATCATTAATAGATCATGAATAGATTTTAAGTCAATATCCCGAAATGCATGTTAATATTCGGAGACTTTGAGTCACTGGCTTATTTAAAAATATACTTATAATAATTAATAATTTATTTTTCCTTGTTTTTTTTTATAAATATTACCTACTCACCGTATTTCTGCCAGAAGGATTGGCTGCTGCCCACGTTAGATTTTGATTGGGAATCGTTGGGGGAAACCGAATCCCCTTCTACTTCATAAACCTCCGTGTAAAGTATGAACTCCAGTCGCGATCTTCGCGTGGTTGTTGTGGATGTTGCTGTTGTTGCTGATGTTGCTGTGGTTACTGATGTTACTGTTGCTGCTGCTGCGACTGTTGGATGTTGCTGCGGGGTCAAAGGTGATGCGGTGGTCGCTGTTCGGACCGTATCACGTTTGCGTTTAAAAATACGAGGCACGGCACGCAGTGATGTTGCTGCTGCCCGGGGCACATGTGGCAATGTAGTTGATGTTGCTGTTGTAGCTGTTGCTGTTGTTGCTGCTGCTGCAGATTGCTGCAACAATGTAGCACGTTGATTAATTTGATATGGCAAGAGCATAGACGCGGGCGATGCGGATGCAGATGCAGAATGCGACGCGTCGCGACAACGACAACGACAACCGCGATGACGATAATGATGATGATGACGATGACGATGACTTCGACCACGACGACAACGACTACTATATGGACACGGCGAACTGAGAGGATTCAGTGGACTATGAGGACTGGGCGGGGATCGCGGTGGGCTTGCACGAATACTTGTCTCGGCACTTGGACTTAAGTGGCAATCCGCACTCGATGCTGGTAATTTATTTTGCAAATTTGTGCCAACAGCGAGCGGCTCCCTTCGTCGTCGCTGCTGCGACCTGCTCAGAATTAAATTTAACTTACGCGTATTATTTGCACTATTTACACTGCACAAAAATTCCACTACCACTATATACAGCATCTAACTGGGCACTTTTGTTGGCACTTTCACTTTCGCCGCCGCTTCCAGTTGCATTCGATATTGAATTGGCTAGCGTCGAATCGCTTGTCTGGCATTTCAGACTTTTAGAACCGCTTCTTCTAACCAGCTGCTCCTCCCCTTGTATTCGATTTAGTTGCTCAACGACCGACGCCCATGGATGGATTACTCTTTCGGTGGATCGCTGTGGATCCTGCTGCTGGCGAAAGACGAAAGGAGGACGAGGCATCCGCGATCCCGGCATTGGCACCGCGAGGGCTGAGGCTGAAACTGCGGCCGGCCGGAGGAGCGTCGTCAGGCTGATCACCACAACCACTGTGCACCACCACAATGTGCAGCGGGCCCCCGCGGCGCCACTGGCTGCTGCATGCGTGGGGGCCACAGCGTCGTCCGCCGCCGGCGATCGGATTGTTTACGCCGTGCTTTCCTCCGCAAATCCCCCAAATCGCATGGTCAACTGCGCTCAAGGCACTCGATCGATATGCCGTGATTATTGCTGTAAGAAATGGAAAATAATTCGTTATTGCAATGAATCAATATGATCTTAAAAAAGCTTAAAAAGGTTTCTTTATAATAAAAGGGGGAAGTTTCATAATGGTGTTTTGCATATATTTACATTAACAATTTGTCTCTCATGGTTGTATATCTAAATCAGAAAATCATTTGCAAGTAATTTTTTAAATAAATGTTATGTTACAAAAGTTCATTTTAATTCTTAAAAAAAATTTTTTAGCTAATCTCTGAATTTTTTTAAATTAATGGCTCCCCTTTAAAGTTCATCCCATCATGCTTTAAATTGCATTGAAATTTGTAATCTTATTTAAATTGATCTATAGAAATTGCTATATATTATATAATACTATTCAACAAAATATAATTCCTGGTTAAATCATATCAGAACACCTACATTTTGCAAATGTTTTAAGATCGAAATATTCATATCAATTATAGTCACATTACTTATTTCATCACCTGAACATAGTTCAGTGATCCCCCTTTTCTTGCAGTGCTTTTATGCTGTGTGGTCGCCCACTTGGCTCTCGTATTTTTTGTTGTTTTCTTTTCTTGTTGTCGCGTTTACTAGCTGCATTTGCTTTTGTTTTGCGGCAGTCTGTCCCAGAGTCTGTGGCAAAGTATCCGCCGTCCCACAATGATCCCTCCCGAACCCCCGACGAAAATACATAGTGACTCATGGGCGGGAGTGAAAGGGGGAGAAAGGGGGTGCGAATGGAGGAGACAGTGTCTGAGCATCGCCCTGTGGGCATAAATAACCCCAAGAACTGCAACACGAACAACAATAATATATGCACAAATGGCCCGCCATTGTTGTTGTTGCACGTTGCGTATGCGTAATATTTTGCTGAAATTAATGTTGCACTTCTTTGCGACTTTGTTTTTATTATTATCATCATCAACATCATTATCCTCGAGTTTCTATATTTAAAGCAGATCAACAGAAACACATCTTTGTTATGCACTTTAGTTTTGATCCCTAAAAACAACAACTTCTTCGCAAAAATTATGAGCAAGTCAAAATAGTATGTTTTTAAATAAGTTAGAGGAGGAAAGATTAATTATTTTTGAATTTAGTTATATTTTTCTCTTATTTTTTAGCAATTTATTAGAAGTAATAATTTATTGCAATAGAAAAAGATTTACATTTAAGGTTAATTCCTTTCGGAAGATTCAAATCGTCCAGCTCCATTCCTTTAAGATAATTTAAACATTAATATACATATTTTTGATAGTGCAACAACAATGTTGCACCCCAACGTGTCAGAGACAGATTGATGCCACAAAAGAACAAAAGCATCAAGATGGATCGCATTGTGGAGACGAATCATCGTCATAAGGAGCAACCTCATCCTCATCCTCATCATCTCCGTCTGATTTTGTTGTTTGTCCGTGGACCTTTTATTTTTACTCGCTTTATTGAAATTCCTTTCAAGTGTCGGAGGCGATCGTCATCATCATCATCCTGCTGTATCCTCCTCATGAACACGATCATAATTAAGAACAACCTTCGCTGTGTTGTGTGTGTGTTGTTGTGTGTGTGTTGTTGTTTGTGTTGTTGTGTGTGTGTTGTTTGTGTTTGATCTGCTTTCGTTGCCCAGACAGACGGCGACTCTCGACGGCAGCTACTGTTTCCCCTTTTTGGAGCCCTCTTGAGCCGCAGCAATTTATTTGATTGCCTCTTCATTTTCATTCCCCCACTTCGTTTTGGCTCAGAGCTTAAGTCGAAATTTATGTTTGCCATAAAAACACGATCTCCAACTCCGAGTCATAATTAATAAAAAAAAAAAAAAACAGCAGAAAAAGAGCAGAAGACCAAATCCGAAATGCAAAACACAAAACAACAAAAACGACTCCAGAAATGTGGCCATAAAGTGCTGACAAGTGTTTTCTGCCGTCCATCCGCTGATCCCAAACAAAAGGCTCGCGTGAGTCAAGATCGTTTTGAGACAGAGTTTGTTTGGGCCTTTTTGTGCCACCAGCTGGTGGACTGAATGTGATGGGAATGAAAGGTATGAATGCGGGACTTTATGAAAAGAAATTACCATACAAAGTAAATTCAGATCGAAAGAATGTGGCTTTAAAAATAAAATGCCTTCTCCATAAAATCAAATGGTGTTTCGGGTTACTCAAGGTTTTAAGTATACAAGTACAACAAGGTATTTAAAAAAAAAATACGAAACGAAAAATAGAACAATGTTACTTTAAAAGCATTAATTAAATAAAAGAATAATCCACAATGAATGTTTAAAAAATATCTGGCTTAAATAAATAAAAATATTTTATATGTGTATTTAAAGTAAAGATAATTCTATTAGGTTTTCTCCGTAAAAAAAATGTTTTAGCTTATAAATGCATACATTCTTCTTTTAAAAGTTTTTGAAAATTTCAAATAAATAATTTTTATTGACCATAAAAAAACAATAATATCAATTCGGCGCATCAACATCAAGAGAACTCTAAAGCATAAGCATTTTCGTCTAATTCAAACACATTCCAGTTTATTTTTAAACAAAACGCTACATTCTTGTATTTATTTCTGTGCCGGCAAAAACAAAATCGAAGTCTTTTATTTTCAATTTCCAACATATCGAACACGGCGGAAGGGGGGGAAGGGGGAAACCCAGGAATTCGCAAGTAATCGACAGAAGCCGGCTGTTATCGATAAAAACACACCAAAAAGCGAACATTGGCATTTGCAGATAAGCGGGTAAATTCGTACTCGTACATACCAGAAAGTCGAACGCTCGATTTGACATTGAGCAAACGTAAATTCGAAGAATTCCGGGCCCAGGAAAAGTTTCCCAAACACGCAGAAAAACCCGGGGGAAATGCCCCTCGAAATCCACCGATCGCGGCACTATTTTACTATATTCACGCACGACTTTCGAACCCGTGTCACGTCGCGAATATTGAGAACACTAATCGAGGAATTTCGCACATGACAACCAAGTATTTGGGCTTGCTCTCTCTCTCTCTCACTCACTTTTCTTCTCTCTCTTTTACTTTAGATTCTATTATTTATAACTATTTGGATGATATATTTATTCTCTTTTGTTTTTCGTACTTTAGTGTTGCAAAAAAAGTGAAAAAAATGTAAATCACTTGTGGTGAACTTTGATTTTAACTGTGATTCTGATGACACGTAGTTCCCGTTACCATATGGCCACCATATAGCCTTTTCTCGATCCGATCTAGCCGCCAACCTGCGCCGCACTGAACTAAATGCGATTTTTTTTCGCAGCTAACATAAAAACTGCCCGTTTGTCTCCAATATTTCACACATTTCGCACACTCGGGCCCCGGCGTCTATATAGACGATATATCTACACAGATATATCCCTGCACTGGCCGGGAATATAGAAGGGGGCTGGGCGGCCTGAGACTCCGACGCGGCGACAGGCGTGCCTTTTATTTTTACCGCTCATTTTGTTGTTGTTCGCTGGCACGGCAAAAAAAAAAAATCAAAAAATAAAAAAGAAAACTAGAAAATAGCAAAATTATTTTTGTACTTAAAAATAAATTGAAAAGCATTTTCTTCATCTGTTTTTGCAACAACGGCCGCAGGAAAATCAAGCGTGAAACGTGCTGCCACACCTCCCCTCGATTTTCGTCTCTCCACTTAAAGTCTCCACTCTACACAAGCACCTTACTCCTAAGGGCCACACAAAAAGAAAATATCTTCTCTTAAAAAATAACTTGTTTTTAAATATTGTTTCACATTTAACTGCTTTTTAAAAATCAAATTATATTTGATTCATACAATTTTCTTTAATTTTTTTAACACAATACTATTTGTTAATATTTGCTTAATTATTTTTTCTATGTGCATTGCAATGTTTTTACTTCGAGGATCGAGAGCTGTCTCCCCGCCTCCGTCTGTCTGTCTGCCCGTCCGTCCGATTGTCTGGCCCTGCTCATTATTTCGCTATCATCGGGAGAGACGTAGAATCGGCGACAAGAACAACAACCTGGTCCAAAAATATCCTCTAACAGTGGGGTAGAGTAAGATGAACAACGCAGACACAGTCAGCATAATTTATATTCAAACGAAATAAGAATGTTGCAAAATTGTTGCACAAATAAGTAGAAGAGGAGCAGAAGTGGCCAACAAGGTGGAAACAATGCCGCTTCGAAAATGCCCTTAAGTAGGTACTCATTTATATATAAATTATATATCAAGAAATAAAACATTAATTTTAGACCTCCAACATTTTTATTTGCTTATCAATTGCAAATGCAAGAGCAAAACAAAAACTTTATATTTTATACTAAGGTACTTTTACTTAAAAATTGATAATAATTTAGATTCTAACAACTTTTACTTTCGTTAGGGAAGAGCATATTTTTTTAAATAAGAGGTTGTAATTGGTTGCAATTACTTTTGCAATTCTAGCCTCCATAATAAAACCATAAACACTAACCCAGGATCCCTTCAACCTGCAAAATTCTTGACTAAAACAAAAGGCGGCAACAAAAATATCACAAAAGTTGAGGAGAAGAGGGAGTTAAGAATATTTCCCTAGTCTCGAGGATAGGGTCGCCAAACGGGAGTCTACGTGTGGGGATTCTTGGGCTATTTTCAGACCCATCTGAGTCACTCGCCCTCAACCTCAGCCGATCCTCTGGCTCCCTCGCTCCCTATCTCGTATACTCCCCAACAAAAAGAACAATGAGCCAGCAACCGCTGAAAATCTTCCACTTGCAGAACCACACAAAAGTAACGCCTGGCCCAAAA